CTCAAAAGGCAGTCTTAAGACTAGTTTTATCACAATTTCAACGATTGGCTCAAAAGGATGTCGTTTTGAGTCTCCAGAAGATGGTCACCGAAGATATCACTGAAACGAATTCAAACATTGAGTCAATGGATCCACAGATGGAGTCTTCAGCAACGCTTCCAGTGGTGTCTAAGTGTATGAGTATTGTGTCGACACTTGTGTTCAAACAGTTAAAGAAGTGATGGATGAAGAAGAAGACAATACTTGCCATCCGTTGGAGAAAAAAGTGCAAAAGACATCACTTTTGATGACAATTCAAACAAAAGTATTCATTAATTGTTTGTATATTTTGTAGTCAAAGGTGTCGTTGAATGCAATGAAAGACACTGAAGAGGAATGTTATGCGAAGGATTCGTTCGACAGATTCGGTGATGACTTAATGCAAGAGATGTTGTCGTATCTGACACTCGAAGACTGTTTCCGATTTGAATGTCTGTCCAAACAGTGGAAGAGATCGGTGTTCACAACAAGACATGCACTCGAAGTGAAAGACCAAAAAATTGACAATTTGTCGATAAAACGCAAAATGAATGGAAGCGTTGATTGGGAAGCATTGGAAACGCTGCTAAAGAAGTTACCAAACATTAGATCCATTGACATCACTATTGGCTGCGATTCATATCTATCGATAATACTGTTTGAAAGACTCATGAAATTATTGAAACATTTGAATGCAATTCACATAACGATTGTATCAATGGATTACGAAATTCTGAACATAATTCTGCCTCAATATGGCTCACGAGTGGCTTCTTTAGTATTCAAGGACTACAGCTATAATTTCGATGAATGGTGTCATAAGTCGTGCCATAATCTCAAGACATTGTGTTTCGATGACAGCGAAGACGGATTGTCGAGGATTTACGACAAAAGCAATGATATATTGTTTAAAAGTGTGACTCAATTCTCGTTCGTGTATTCGTCCTATAATTTGAATGCTTTCACACTATTTACGGATCACTACACCAATAGTCTGAAGTCTATTGCAATGATTTTGTGTAAATTGGACGGAAAGGGTATTGAGGATGTGTTACACGTTTTACCAAAACTCAAAGTTTTGAATACAATTAGCCTTCGGATTGATTCAATTGGCGGAAAGTTTGTGATTATCGAGTCGTTCACCGATTGTCTCAAACAGATAGCCATTGATTGCAAGCTATTAAAGAGATTTGAGTTAATTATAACTGATTTCGAAAAGACAAAACTGCGACAAATCTATGAATCCATGAAATGTTTGACACGATTACGAGAACTGAGATTAAAGTTTGAGTCATATTATGGTTCAAATAATTGTAGGATTCATGCGAATGCCAAGTCGTTGTTGAAATGCAAACGTTTGACACATTTATCTCTAGATATGGAATATTTTATAATTAACGAGTGTTTCTTTGACTCAATTGACACACATTTGCCACGACTTCAGTCACTGAAACTCAAGAGTAGATTAAAGAAGTCTCCGAGGATTGAGGAATCGGTGCAAAAGTTACCGAAACTTAAGTGCTTTGAAATGAAAACACTATCGCATATGTCTATTGATGGCAGCAGTGAATCAGATGATGATTATTCAGATTCTGACGATATTTATGATTCCGATGTCAGTTCGCCTGAAGAATAGCCCTAAAATTGACGACCAATTCATACAACTTTTGTCTCTATTTTTTGTGTCCTTGTAATTACATGTCATTAATGATAACTTTAGTATAATTATATAATTAATTATCTAAATTCACTTGAGTTGTAAACAAAAATAAAATATTTGCATACACTTATTTGTTTTGATTAAATTGATTAAAAATAAATTTAAATTATTGTTTATTGTAAAGACCTGAAATGACATGAATAGTTTGTTTATTGAATTAAAAATTACTGTTTAATTATCAAATGAATTTGTTTAGTTTTAATAGATAGTTATTACAATTACAATTACTACAATTAAAATCCTTAAGGGGGGTAAATAGACTATATTATTATTCAATAACTTTTTTTGTAGAGTTTCCTTAAGTAATCAAAATTTGCTAAATAAAAATTGTTTAGAGCAATAGTATAGGTCTCGTCGGGACCCGAGATCATACGCTAGTATATGACCCCCATTGCGGACAATCACTTGATAAAAGTTGTGGACAACCCTTACATAACCGGCCACTTCTGTGTCCTTATCACTGACTTTCCACACGAGTCTGTCAGCGGACTTGTATTGACTCGCTTTCGACCACTTTATGCTTTGTATGAAGTTCTCAGTGAGAGTGGCCGCCACTATTATGTCCAGTTGACCACTGAATAGCATAACCTGGATGCAACATAATAGTATGACATAATATGTTGGAGTTAATATCTGATCATTCAAAGTACAACTTAGGAATTCCCCCCATTTATCTGATATAATAATAAGTTATTGAAAAAAACATCTCAAAGGAATTCATTAGTTTTAAACGATTTATTTTTAACAAATCTCGTTATCATATCCAGAGCAGCCCTGGGCTCATCATATGCTAGTATATGACCCCCATTGCGGACAATCACTTGATAAAAGTTGTGGACAACCCTTACATAACCGGCCACTTCTGTGTCCTTATCACTCACTTTCCACACGAGTCTGTCAGCGGACTTGTATTGACTCGCTTTCGACCACTTTATGCTTTCGATGAAGTTCTCAGTGAGAGTGGCCGCCACTATTATGTCCAGTTGACCACTGAATAGCATAACCTGGATGCAACATAATAGTATGACATAATATGTTGGAGTTAATATCTGATCATTCAAAGTACAACTATGAAGTTCTCAGTGAGAGTGGCCGCCACTATTATGTCCAGTTGACCACTGAATAGCATAACCTGGATGCAACATAATAGTATGACATAATATGTTGGAGTTAATATCTGATCATTCAAAGTACAACAAAAATTTATGCGGTTATCTAGCTATCACTAAAATTATAATTAATTTAATTTTCACGGAATTAATTTTACTTCACTATTTGATATCTATGACAAATTGCCATGCGCATTTTATCAAAGTCATTTAATTTATATTTAATACCTTATAGTCTGCGTCCATAAGTGTGGTCAGCCATGGCTTCACTGATTGCATGATATTTGCCATCAAATGATCCATCACTTTATTGCCGTCATTATAGGTCAGATTCCCGACATGTATGGCACGTCTGGTGGCCTCCAGTTCCAGATATTTGGAATAATAATTAAACTCTTCGGGACTATTAGTGAACAAATAGTTGTAATAAAATGAGAGTCCCGTAGCGTTTCTGAAGTAAGAATCCATAGACCATAGACCAGTCAGTATATCAATAGTCTTAAAAGCATCCAGATAATTTTTATTATTGATGAATTCAATCGCTTTATTAGTCTCTGTATTGACATAATCTCTTTGATTCTCATCAATGAGTCCGGTTTGGTATAGGAATGGTCCATAGCCCAACTGGGTAACCGGGTCTATCCATCCGTTCCCAATGGCTATACCTTTCAGGTTAATATTAGATGCCTTTCCCTCGGAGTGTATCTTATAGGCGATCGCCGGCACGTATTTGCCCGCATATGACTCACCCGTTATATAGAAATCATTTTGTCTCTCTCAGTTATAATTAACTCAAATCTCTTTAATAGCTTGCAATCAATGGCTATCTGTTTGAGACAATCGGTGAACGACTCGATAATCACAAACTTTCCGCCAATTGAATCAATCCGAAGGCTAATTGTATTGAAAACTTTGAGTTTTGGTAAAACGTGTAACACATCCTCAATACCCTTTCCGTCCAATTTACACAAAATCATTGCAATAGACTTCAGACAATTGGTGTAGTGATCCGTAAATAGTGTGAAAGCATTCAAATTATAGGACGAATACACGAACGAGAATTGAGTCAAACTTTTAAACAATATATCATTGCTTTTGTCGTAAATCCTCGACAATCCGTCTTCGCTGTCATCGAAACACAATGTCTTGAAATTATGGCACGACTTATGACACCATTCATCGAAATTATAGCTATGATCCTCGAATACTAATGAAGCCACTCGTGAGCCATATTGAGGCAGAATTATGTTCAGAATCTTGTCATCCATTGATACAAACGTTATGTGAATTGCATTCAAATGTTTCATTAACTTCACGAGTCTTTCAAACAGTATTATCGATAGATATGAATCGCAGCCAATAGTGATGTCAATGGATCTAATGTTTGGTAACTTCTTTAGCAGCGTTTCCAATGCTTCCCAATCAACGCTTCCATTCATTTTGCGTTTTATCGACAAATTGTCTATTTTTTGGTCTTTCACTTCGAGTGCATGTCTTGTTGTGAACACCGATCGCTTCCACTGTTTGGACAGACATTCATATCTGAAGCTGTCTTTCAGTGACAGATAAGACAACATCTCTTCGCATAAGTCATCACCGAATCTGTCGAACGAGTCCTTCGCATAACATTCCTCTTCAGTGCCTTTCATTGCATTCAACGACACCTTTGACTACAAAATATATAAACAATTAATGAATACTTTTGTTTGAATTGTCATCAAAAGTGATGTCTTTTTGCAAACTTTTTTCTCCAACGGATGGCAAGTGTTGTCTTCTTCTTCATCCATCACTTCTTTAACTGTTTGGACACAAGTGTCGGACACAACACTCATACACTCAGACATCACTGGAAGCGTTGCTGAAGACTCCATCTGTGGATCCATTGACTCAATGTTTGAATTCGTTTCAGTGATATCTTCGGTGACCATCTTCTGGAGACTCAAAACGACATCCTTTTGAGCCAATCGTTGAAATTGTGATAAAACTAGTCTTAAGACTGCCTTTTGAGACAAAGGTATGTCAATGAGTGGTAAGTCTTTGTCGGTGTCTAACACGAGAAGCAGTTCTCTGTCTCTGAATCCATGACTTATGAGGACATCAATGGTCTGATCAGTAATGTGCGGACACTTCCGGAGGAAACCTCTTGTAAAGCATTCTTTATCTTCTGAATCCATGTCTTGATTAACAGTCAAACAGACAATGAATTCGCGGATCAAATGAAACCTCAAACCAAACAATGCTTTGAAATGTTGACACAATTTGTGACTAATTTTGACTCAAATCTAAAAACTGTTTGTTTTGCGAAACAAAGCATTCAATGAATTATTGAATCGAGATTTCGTTGACTCTATGAATGCTTGAATACTGTGTGCCATCTGTTGGTAACCAAAGCTTACAAAACACTATAAATTCAATAAAACAGAATATTCCGTGAAAATCAATATTAATTGAAAAAAGTACAGTTAATAAGTACATTGAATACAGTATATTAATGTAATATAAGAAGTACATACTAATCGAAAACAAAAATCATTAATCAGTTATTACATCAATACAATATGTTTTCTAATTGTAATAAAGTTTAGAAATGTTAAACAGTTTTGAAAATTTTTAATAATAAATCACGTTTTCTATTCAATTAAGCTTATACTGTACTAACAAAGTTTAACACCCAATTTATATACAGAATGTAGAATTTTCAACATTAACCTGAACATTATTAGTGTTTAATTAATTTATTTAACAGGTAATTTACGAATTATGAACATTTTCTTAACTTTGACTTTTAAATTATAATAAAAATTAATTTTCTGATGAATATATTGATAGCATTTGTGAATAACATTGGATAGCATTATAATAGAGAATCCAAACCATAGGCTAACATAGGATGCAATATATGACACAAACTCTTCAAACAGTATTTTAGGCAAATGTGTGAACAGTATATCCGGTGTATTGGCCGGTATGACCACCACATAGAAAGCATCGGACTCTAAGGACAGTTTTTTTACAGTGAAGGCATAGACTTCTTTATGGCATTCCGTTCTCATTCCACACAATTGTATGCAATGTTTAGCCAAAGTATGGTCTGAATTGGGATTTAGGATATAGTATTCATAGGTATCCATAACTTTCAAATCGGATGTCTTGTTATATATCAAGTAATTTCCGGGCCATAAGTCTGTGATATTATCATTGAATGTCTTAATCCGACATTTAGTGATACAATCTGAAAGTGATTTGTAACCCATTTCCCGGTAATCATAACAGTTTGTGTGATAGGGTTTAGGCAACGATTTTGTCACATATTTCTTATATTCAATGAAATAATCCGTGACTTTCTTGTTATCCATTCTTATGGGATATTCAATGAGTTTTGATTTATAAGTTCATAACAGTTTGTGTGATAGGGTTTAGGCAACGATTTTGTCACATATTTCTTATATTCAATGAAATAATCCGTCACTTTCTTGTTATCCATTCTTATGGGATATTCAATGAGTTTTGATTTATAAGTATCATCAATGAGTTGATCCCTGGGATGGACAGCCACACGGACTTTAGGCCTATTGTTGAGTATGATTTCCGCATAAAATAACTCAATGAGATAGTCGTCGAAAGGCATGTGATTATTAATGTGTAGAGATTTATGGGGATCTCCATCCAAATGAGACAAAAATGTGAAACAAATGCTAAAATATATTAGAAAATTAGAAAATATTAATGAAGAATATATATTATATTAATTAAGAATATATTATAAGATATCATATTACTCGTAATAACTGATCGATTGTCTAATTACACTGATTTTATGGCATTTAATATAGAAATTGTCGAAATCATTGACAGAATTGGCTTCAATTTCTATAGGCTTTGCCACAAAGCATTTATTGAATATCTCGTTATAAGTGTAAAACAAATCAAACTGTTGTCTAATCGTATAATCGCTGCAAAACTTTTCCACTTTCTCTTCGTTAGCATATCTTTCGCTTTCATTATAATCGGTTGTAATATTGAGTTGTTGTAAATACTTATCCCGCAAAACATCTAATTTAAAGAAACATATTGTGATTGCCGGCAGAGTTATGTTGAATATGTTGTCGTAGTTAACAGTTGTTGTGGTTTGATATGAGAAATATATTTCACATATTGTGTAGATTTGGTACAAACACAATGTCAGACATAATATGAAAAAGAATTTGTGAAATAACTTCTTAAACATGATTGACATAATTTAATTTAAGCAAATTTTTGTATTAATTTATACATCATTATACTTTTAATAATATTATATAACTAATAAGAATGAATAAAAATTTAATCTCATATTTTTTATTATTATAAAAACTTATTCTTTACACAATTAATCAATAAGACAACAAACAAACTAAATATTAAAATTGCATAATAAAGTACAATATACAGTAATATTGATTTAAATTGTTTTATTATCACTATTATACTATAACAATATTTATTAATTTAGAAATAATATTAAAATATTTATTTATACTAAAATTATTCTTAGGTTCATTAAAATAATAAAATTCTTATTTTTCTTAAATTGTGTTAAATAGAAATTATTGCAATAATAAATGTTTGCCTATGATATTTAATTAAAAATACTATTATATTTAGAATTTTAAAGATAGCTAACGGTATAATTAAAATGTTTGTCGTAACGTTATGTTGCACCAAGGTTATTCTATTCAATGGTCAACTGGACATAATAGTGGGCCACTCTCACTGAGAACTTCATTCAAAGCATAAAGTGGTCGAAAGCGAGTCAATACAAGTCCGCTGACAGACAGATATGGGAAGTGTGTGAAATAGACACAGAAGTGGCCGGTTATGTGCGAGAAGTCGACAACTTTTATCAAGTGATTGTCCGCAATGGGGGTCATATACTAGCATATGATGAGCCCAGGGCTGCTTTGGATATGATAACGAGATTTGTAAAAAATAAATCGTTTAAAACTAATGAATTCCTAATTAAAAAATAGCTTTTAATAAACTAAATTCAGTTTAATGTTCATAAAGTTAATAATTTTAACATTTATTTTTACATTCATTAATTATTTTGTTTATAGTAATTATAGTAATTATTTATTTTAATAAAACAATGTAAAAACTGTTGTTATTATGTTTTAATAACACCAATAAATAAAATAAATAATTATAATTAAGAAACAAATTCATTTGATAATCAAACAGTAATTTTTAATTCAATAAACAAACTATTAATAAGTCATTCCAGGTCTTTACAATAAACAATAATTTAAATTTATTTTTAATCAATTTAATCAAAAAATACAGTAATTGTAAGCAAATATGTTATTTTTGTTTACAACTCAAGTGAATTTAGATAATTAATTATAGAATTATACTATAGTTTTCATTAATGACATGTAATTACAAGGATACAAAAAATAGAGACAAAAGTTGTATGAATTGGTAGTAAATATAGCTATTCTTCAGGCGAACTCACATCGGAATCATAAATATCGTCAGAATCTGAATAATCATCATCTGATTCACTGCTGTCATCAAAACTATAACCAAAGGGTATGGGATATGGTGTCTGGAGATCAATGCATCGAAGTTTCGGTAACTTTTGCATCGATTCCTCAATCCGCGGAGACATCTCTAATCTACTCACGAGTTTCAATGACTGAAGTCGTGGCAAATGTGTGTCAATTGAGTCAAAGAATGACTCGTTTAACATAATTTCCGGCAAATCTAGTGATAACTGTGTCAAACGTTTGCATTTCAACAACGACTTGGCATTCAAGTGAATCTTACAATTATTTGAACCATAATATGACTCAAACTTTAATCTCAGTTCTCGTAATCGTGTCAAACATTTCATGGATTCATAGATTTGTTGCAATTTTCTCTTTTCAAACTGACATATAGTTAACTCAAATCTCTTTAATAGTTTGCAATCAATGGCTATCTGTTTGAGACAATCGGTGAACGACTCGTTAATCACAAACTTTCCGCCAATTGAATCAATCTTAAGGCTAATTGTATTGAAAACTTTGAGTTTTGGCAAAACGTGTAACACATCCTCAATACCCTTTCCGTCCAATTTACACAAAATCATTGCAATAGACTTCAGACAATTGGTGTAGTGATCCGTAAATAGTGTGAAAGCATTGAAATTATAGGACGAATACACGAACGAGAATTGAGTCAAACTTTTAAACAATATATCATTGCTTTCGCCGAAAACATTCCACAATCCGTCTTCGCTGTCATCGAAACACAATGTCTTGAGATTATGACACGACTTATGACACCATTTGTTGAAATTATAGCTGTAATCCTTGAATACTAAAGAAATCACTCGTGAGCCATATTGAGGCAGAATTCTGTCCAGAATTTCGTCATCCATTGATACAAACGTTATGTGAATTGCATTCAAATGTTTCAATAATTTCACGAGTCTTTCAAACAGTATTACAGAGAGATATGGTTTATCGCAGCCCATAGTCATGTCAATGGATCTAATGTTTGGTAACTTCTTCAGCAGTGGTTCCAATGTTTCCCAAATAACTCTTCCACTCATTGTCTGTTTTATCGACAAATTGTCAATTTGTTTGTCATTAACTTCCAGTGAATGTCTTGTCGTGAACACCGATCTCTGCCACTGTTTGGACAGACATTCAAATCGGAAACAGTCTTCGAGTGTCAGATACGACAACATCTCTTGCATTAAGTCATCACCGAATCTGTCGATTGAGTTCTTCGCATAACATTCCTCTTCAGTGCCTTTCATTGCATTCAACGACACCTTTGACTACAAAATATACAAACAATTAATGAATACTTTTGTTTGAATTGTCATCAAAAGTGATGTCTTTTGCAAACCTTTCTCTCCGACGGATGGCAAGTATTGTCTTCTTCTTCTGACTCCATGTCTTCGGTTAGCGAACAAACAGACAATGAATTCGCGGATCAAATGAAACCTCAAACCAAACAATGGTTTGAAATGTTGACACAATTTGTGACAAATTTCGACTCAAATCTAAAAACTGTTTGTTTTGCGAAACAAAGCATTCAATGACTCATTGAATCAGTGAATCGACAGTTCATTCAACCAATGCTTGCATTGAATACTGTGTGCCATCTGTTGGCAACCAATGCTTTCAATACAAACATTCATTCACTGAATCCTTCAATACTTTTATTGAGTCAATATTAGAGTAATAGGAAAAATTCCTACTGTATTATGAATGGTATATTAATATCTAATTTATTTTTAAACATTTATATTATTCACATTTAAACCCACTGTACACCTTTAATTGATAAAACATAATTGTAGTAAATATTGAAATATTAAAATAAATTTTTTTTAATAATTTTATATTGAATATGAAAATCATTCAAACAACAACCTAAACTAGAATCAATTACTATAAATATAAAACTACAATACTTTAAAATAAATTATGTAAAAAATGTATAAAATAAATTCATAAATCATTTTACAAACTACAACAAACAGATTTTTTAAAAAGTTTTAAACTTTTAAAATCAAAACTTCTAAAACTGTTAAAAACCAAATCATAAGTTACACCAAACCATTACAAAACGCCTAAATCTCGGTGTCATTCACTTTCAGGGAAAGTCGTCGACCTCTTTGGACAGTTGGGTCACCACCTTCTGGATGTCCTTATTATCTCTGCCCAACTCCTTCAGCACTGCCAACAACTTCGTCATAGTCTTCGGCAAACTCTCGAAAATCTTATCCTTTTTGAAGTCATCGCTCGTATCCTTCAACACCCCCTTCAACGCCGCCCATAAGCGCTGGGCTCTCAGTGCAAACTCGACCGACACCTCCTTAACCTCCTTGTGGTCCACCACCGCCTCCACGGCATTTAGAGCGCCGTTAGTATCGGTGGCGGCCGTGAGTACCGCCGACTCATACTTAGTCTTATTCTTGTCGGCCGCCGCATCCGCAGCCATTTGTATGGAATGGTTGGCCAGTAGTACATAATTAGTGACAGTTATAGAGGGACTGGTAGGCATCGTCTGATCCTTTTTCACCCGATCCCGGAGCCGGTTGTTCAGCCGCTGATTTGTCAGATGAAGTTTACCCAACAGTGTGGAGTAACTG